CTTTCGTTCTGCATTAGTAATTATTTTTCTGTCACCGCTTGAACATTTTCCCTCTTGTGTAAAAGATAATTTTATACTTTTCTCTCTTGTGATTCGCTTATCCATAGAATATCTGACAGCCATTTTTTCGTATTTTGCGCACACACACACAGATCAGTGTTTCTAACATTACGCGTACGCCTTTGTTCCAAAGCGTACGGTACGCGAACTAAATTGAAAATACGCTTTGCATCAACCAATAGGAAAAGACAGAACGATAGAATCCACGAATTACCACGCTTATGTACGCACTGCTCAAAATTCTCATTAGAAACCCTGACACAGACAACCATTTTGTAAGACCCTAGACTAAAGTCAAGGGAACTTGTCAAAATTGCATAGTTAGATCTTGTGTACGCTTGTAAATCTGTCGAAGGAAAATTTCTCTCTCTTTTAATGCAGGACAAGGACAGATAAAAAGAAGAGAGAACGAACAAATAAGACTAGACAGAAAGTACACTAAATACATAGATAGTCACCGGGTTCGTTGCGTACAATTTCAGTGTCTAATGCATACTTTTAAATGGCTGAATAGAACAACTAGCCTTTCTGAAAGGCTTTATGCACGTCTGCCTTAGATTTAAGAAAAACACGCTTACATGATTCTGAATTATAGAATGGTATCCCATCTTTTGTGTATAAATAAGTATCACTTAATTTGGATTTTTCATGCTGAAGTAATTGTAGATTTTCTTTCGTTAAATCTTCTCTGACCATGACATATTTATATCCAACTGAGTTCAGATATCGACGTGTTGAATAGAAAATTTGTCTAGCACGATAGGAAGTAAATCTTACTATGATTGCACGATGCCGTATTTTTTTTTAATCTGAATTGTGATTTGAACCGATATTTCCACGATCCTGTGCCGTTGAGATCATTGCACCAGCTCTATGTGAGCATGAGATGTCATGAGCAAATATTGGTATATCCAATTTTCTAGCTATATCTAATACAATTTCATCTGTTGACTCGTTTGCTTCTTCACGTAAACCAAAAATTCTTAAATTTAAGCGTCGATCATACTGTTCTAAACGATTCAATTTGTATATAATGTCAGATTCATCTTTTTGTACTTCATTTGCATAAGTTTTCATTGACTCAATAACCTAATTCTGTTTAGCTAGCATTAATTCCAGGTCATTGACTTGTGTTGTCAGTGTTGTGATCTGCTGTTCTTGCTTTTGTAAATGTTCATCGTACTTATCAAATGTAGACTGAAATTTTGCAGTCAATGCGTTAATGAATTTTTCTGACGTCACTACCTCTGTGATAATGTCTTTTAAACTTGTTTTGTTTGCACTTTGATCTTTCGAACTATCTGCACTCATCATACTTATACTGACTATCATATATTCCGGTGTTTAGTAGCACAATTTAGTACGAAGAGAAAGAACGATAGATAGATGTTAGCAGCATGAAAGAAAAAGTTCGAAAAACTGTTGGTTTGATATCTATGATTATATAATAAACAGAGCAATTCGCATATGTTCAAGTTATGCATTATACCCTTGACTGAAAGTCTTGGGTCATACAAATGAAATGCCCGTCTGTCCGCAGTAGAGTAGTGACACCTGCTTTTAAATTAGTGGAAATTAGCGATATATTTATTTCATATTCAAACATGTAATTACTACTTTTATCGGCAGGGAGACATCCTAGATGAACGAGCCCGAAATAAAAGATGTTAAAAATTAAATTTCATACATTTTATCTGCTGGCACAAATTTCGTTAATTAGCGAGAAAAACGCCAAATTTTGATAATCTATGAATCATGATATATATCTCGATGTATATCGTTTTTTACTGACTCGCTTTTTGCTAATTTTGAGATGTATTTGTTTACTACAGAAAAGTAGTTTTGCACAGTCTGTTGTCTGTTGTTTCGAACCGTAAAGTTCATGGGGTCTTTCATGCAATACAAGATAAAGAAGATAAAGTAGTCTTGCACGTTCAAAGCTAGAAATACGAAAAACTTCCTGGTTTTGGACTATGTTCAAAATCAATACTTTTTGTCATGAGTTTTTACCTACGCGAAGAAATTTTCACTTGATTTGAATAAAAAACAAAGATTTTATGTAAAAATGACCTCCCCCTTTTTCGTAGCATACAGTAGAAACGATTTTGCTAGACAAAGGAAAGAAAAGGAAAAAAAAAGGATGTGTAATTTTGTGACGTGTGGTATGATGCGCCGAATGAGATAAACTATTTGCCTACATAGAAAAACTACATAGGTTTACAAAATCGATCTATACGCATCAGATTCGAAGCACCACCATCAAAAGATTTTTGGAGTTAGAGGCGATTTAACAACTTGTCTATACTCAGTTTTTGATGCTGAATCTGAAAAAAGTATTTTCAGAAGCTTGTAAAAAGAAGAAAGTAGAAAATTTTGCACATTTTGAAAAAGTTGTGTTTTTTGAAAAAAACTAGTCCCTTCAGGTTTTTCGTATTTTTCGACCTGAAAAAGGCATTTGCTGAAGCTAAAAATCAGTTTTTCGTGATCAGCGGCTCACACTCTATCGATCTATGTAAAAGAAAGGCAAAAAAAGTTTTTACTTGAAATTTGCTCTGCCGGCACCTTATCACTATTTACAGTCAACTTAAAACCTGCTGAAAAGTCTTTTTCTCTCTTTTGTTTCTATCCCTTCCTTTTCCATTTTTCTCATTTTCTTTCCAAAGGTAACCGATAGCATCTTTTCTTTTCGCTTCATTGCATAACGTTAAGAGCAAATTAAATGAGTAGAAAGTCAACTTATTATTCTTATTTTACTATCTTTGTAATGCAATAAAGATCAAAGCTCGCAAATAAGTATGTATTGCAATGAAAAACCAGGGTATAGTGTACATGCATCTTGATGTTCCAACCAGAACAGAGAGAATTTCGTGTGAATTCGAATCAGTTCTAAAACAACAATTGGGCGCATTTTTGTGATAATTTCGTTTTATATGTAGATGTTCGGATATTCAGATATTCAGGTATTCAGATTTACAGATAGATACATATACGGATGTACAGATCTTCAGATATTAAGATTTTCACATATTCAGATGTTCAGATATTCAGGTGTATGGATGTTCCGATATTCAGATTTACAGATATAGGACGCATTAGAGTTGAGACTTTTCTGCGAATGCTGAGAATTATGTGACGCGTTGATGTTCAGAGTTTTCTGAGAATTTTGAGAATGTTGAGTATTGTGCGTTATATTAGAGTTTTGAGTATTTTGGAGAATTTTGACAATTATGAGAATTATGTAGCGCATGAGAGTTTTGACAAGTATGGGAGTTATAGAACGCATTAGGTTTTTGTGAAGTTTAAGAATTTTGAGAATTACGTAACGGATTAGACTTTTCAGGAGTTTGGGGAATTTTGAGAATTATGAAAATTATGTAACGTATTAAAGTTTTGGGAATTATGTAATTTTTCGTCCGAATAAGGGGATTATCAGGGATATAATTGAAATCTTTATCTCGATTCTATAAAAATTATTTAGTTGTTAGTCGTTAGAGAGCAAAGTCTTAAAACAGCAATGTATAGTTGTCCATGGCAGAAAACTCGTTGTGATAGAAGTAGTCCTAATCGATCATAGCAAAGGAGAGTCTAATAGGAACATTAGTGTGGACAAAGTGTCTAAAGACGAATTGACGAATCGCAATTTTTGGGAGTAAAAACGATGCAACAATTCGCATTTTGTCATTGTTTTGCGAATTCGCAGCAAATTCGTAATTCAATGCAAACTGATGCGAAGTAACAAAAATGATCAAAAACGAACCAAAAAAGTGCCTCTTTTCTTCCTTTTGCCAATTCGTCAATTAGGACGACTTCGTAAGAAAGAAATTTACGGTACCTACGAATTCGTAAATCGAATTGATCGACCATCGACGAATTCGTGAAATGATCATTTTGGTCCCCAATAATTCGTGTACGAATTCGTAATATGGCAAAACTACGATAAAATGCGAATTGACGAATTCATCGATGCCAAAGCATAACCGACGAATTCATAAATAGAATTCGTAAAATACGAGTTGATGTCAGGGACAGGACACTTTTCTCTGAGGTTAAAAATAGATAGATTCGTCTCTTCTCATCGATTTGCATACTTCTCATACCAATTCGGCATTATTCTTACGAATTCGTAAAATACGAATTGATGTCAAGCACAAAACACATCTCCCTGACGTTAAAAATAGATAGATTCGTCTACTTCTCACCTCACTTCGCCGTTATTTTACGAATTCGTAGGATACGAATTGATCAGTTGAATGAATTAATCAAAAAATGTGTGCGAAACAAATCAGCGGGGAATCTCTCTCCCTTTTGTGTGGATGTGCCGAG